CTGGGCTTTGAGGTAACCAGGGAGAAAAGGGTATAGACTAGGACATTTTCAGGTGGGGAGTTTAGGGTATAAAGGGTTTCTATAAGGCTTCCATAAGGTATATAGACCTTCTATAAGGCTCCTATAACGGTAGCTACCCACCTGAAATTGTCCTAGATATAGACTTTGATTTCATAATGGCTCCTTTAAGGAACAAGTTCCAAACAAGTATTAATTTATGGTATTCGCTAAACCCAGAACCTGATACCCTCGACCCTAAGCCGTTAAATGCACCCTTAAAGGAAACCCTACTATAAAAGTAGACCCTATCATAGACCCCCCAAGTGAACTGAGACCCTCAACCCGCAAGGCCCTCAACCCCAAATACAAAATCTAAAGTCTGAAGCAGCCAAAACCCTAAACCCTAAACCCTAAACCCTAAACCCTAAACCCTAAATCTGAAACTCTACTCAACAGTAAACCCCAAATACAAAACCTGAGACTACAGCAGCCTACTGTAGGCACCTTACTAATTAGAATAGGCTTTTGGGGTCCATAATACTATACTTATATTAAGAAACCTCCCAAAATAGTATTAGTAATTATTAAGGCCCCTATATATAAACAACCCTAAACCCGAAACCCTCAACGGCTACGGCTGTGCTGTTGTCGGAGACTCCGGAGGGACCCCTAGGCTTGGTAAGTAAGGTTTAGGGCTTAGGGGGGTTTAAGGTTTAGGGGTTTAGGGTTTTGGGGTTTTGGGGTTTTGTGGTTTCAGGGTTTAGGAGTTCAACGGTTCAGGGTTTAGAGCCTTTACAGCCTATCTTTTCAGGGTTCCTTACTGTGATTTCCTTAAAAAAATCCTGAAAAAAGGTAGGTTCTTTACGGCGATAACAGCCATAGGATTTAGGGCCCAGTTTTGCGACTGAGGGTTCGGCCCAGTGTTCTTGGTCTTACGGCTCTTCTAGGGGTTCTATGAAGGCTCTGCAATGGGGTTTAGGGTTTAGGAATTGAGCGTTCCTTTAGGGTGTAGTTAGGGTTGCTTTAAGGTTGAGAGTTTAGGGTTTTAGGGTTTAGGGTTTAGGGTTTAGGATGTTGGAGACTGAGACACAGTGACTATGTTGCAGGGGTGTAAGTGGTTGCTATAGTTGCCTGACTTATAACCCTGGCTACTAAGCCCCCTGCTTCTCTAAGCCCAATACCCTAAACCCTAAACCCTAAACCCTAAACCCGTAAGCCTAAGACTTAGAACCCCCCCGAACTGAAACTCCTCTTGGGTCAAACTCCTTACGCAAAGGGAAGCCTAAACAAGAGACTGGGTTTAGGGTTTAGGGTTTAGGGTCCAGGGTTTAGGGTTTAGGGTCCAGGGTTTAGGGTTTAGGGTTCGCAGAAAGTTAAGGGAACTTACAGTTGGGGAGTTTTGGGTATATCGGGCTTCTATAAGGCTTCCATAAGGTATATAGACCTTCCATAAGGCTCCTATATCGGTAACTACCCACCTGAAAAGGTCCTAGAAGAAAGGAAACCCCAGCGGAGCCTGGAGTAGTATGATAATTCCCCGACTTGCCAGAGACTAAGCCCTCTTAACCATGAGTATTCCCGGGAACTCGGGTTTTAGGTTTCTCTGAGGTTTAGGACCTTAGGGTTTAGAGTTTAGGGTTGAGGGTTAGGGTTCAGGGTTTAGGATTTGGGTTTAGGGTTCATAAGGGTTCAGGGTTTAGGGTTTAGGGAAGTGGGATCGAGTTCAGAGAGTCTACATTGCACCCAGACCACGAAACCTCAATGCCCAAGCGTCCTTGGCGAAAAAGCCCAAAGGCAGTGACCTCGACAGCTCAATTTAATGACCCTCAGGGACCTAAACCCTAAACCCCGAAGACCTTTAAACCCTAAACCCAAATCCTAAACCCTGAACCCTAACCCTAAACCCTAAACTCTAAAACCCTAAGTCCTAAACCTCACCAACACCCTAACTAAAAGCCGAGTTCCTAAGTACCAGGCTCCCAAAAAAACATAGAACAAAGCCCTTAGCCCGAAACCCTGAACCCTGTACACAGACGCCAAACCGAAACCCTACTGCAGTGCAGACTCCAAAACCACCCTAAACCCTAAACCTCGAAATCCTAAACCCTAAACCAAAACCACCCTAAATCCGACACCACAAACCGTCAACCCTCAATCCGAAATCCTGCGCCCGAAAGTAAAATCCTGAACCCTACATTCTAACTCTTAATCCTACCTGGACCCCAAAAGTATGTAGAGCAATGGCCTTTTATGGGCTTTGGGCCATTATTTTACCTACTTTTGGGGGCTTAGGTATACCCTAAACCCTGCACCCTGAAATCTGCACCCTCAACCCTAAATCCTCAATCCTAAACCAATAGGGTGTTGGGGTATACTTTGCTATAATTATAGTGAGGAACTCCCCAAAAAAGTGTACCCTAACGCTCATGGACCCCATAGTGAAAGCCCAAACCTTAGCCCCCAAAGCCCAAACCTTCGCCTAGAACGCCCATAGCAGCAACAAGAGCCTTAGGGTAGGTGATTAGTTAGGCCCCTATATTACCTGGGTGCAACATTCAACCCTAAACCCTAAACCCTAAACCCTAAAACCCTAAACCCTAAACCCTAAACCTAAAACCCTAAACCCTGAACCCTAAACCCTGCAACATTTCGAGGGCCGAGGGCAGTCGCTCCAAGTTTTCTCGGGGCTTTGGGAGCTGGGGCTCAAGGTCTGAGGGCGTTCGGCTGCGGTGGTTTAGGGCTTTGGGTTTTGGGTT